TTATGAGGAGGGGGGACTATATGTAATTCCCGAGTGTATATATGTAGCCTCAAAATAGATGATGAGTGAGTGAGTGGATGTTTTGAAATGTGGTTGTATATTCTCTTCCTTGATTCATAATAGTGAAATCTTTCTCTCTCATGGACGTAACCCTAGAGTTGGGTGAACCATGTAAAATATTGTGTTGTGCGTGGATGTGTATGATTGTTATCTCTATATATACTTGTGTTAATGTGATGTGATGATGCTTCCGCTGTGTGTGATGAAGGAAGGATTTAACTTTCAACAATAGCCGACCGTTGAGTGGGTTGGAGAGAGTTAATTATTTCCAACAGTTACAATGGAATTTGCATCAGTTTGCTGCTGTTGAAAGTATTGATGACCTATTTAACTGGTTTAAAGATAACTCTGTTGTGGTATATCATAAGACTCTGTTTAGTGCTTCTCTTTGAGGTATTTTGCATGAGAGAAATGCTAGGCTTTATGGACATAATACTAATCCTGAAGTAGTTGCTAGAAGTTTATTGTTAAAAGTGTTGGATATACACAATACTTCTATTACTGATATATATTGCTTGTTAACTACTATGGTTCCTTTTTGCTGAGGTAGTGAGATTTTGTTCCTCTCCCTTAGCTCTTTTTCTTTCAGGTTTAGGGACTGGATGCTTGTATCCAATCTCTATTATGTGCTTTTAATTTTCTGGAGGAATGCCCTCTGTGCTCCTGTACATATTTTTATTTTCTTTTATACAACCACATTTATGGAAAAAAAATGCTGAAAGGGCGATGCATTGTACTACAAAATACAAGCTGTTCTAAAGGTCTAAAACGGAGACGAAAAAGCAAACTCAGTACAAGAACAAAGCTAGTACAAAAAGATTTAAAGAAAGATCAAGGTTTCAATTGAAGATTTTCTTATCAAACCCACAAATAAAATAAAAAACAGAACAAATATATATTCTTGACGAGATTGCGAAATCAGCCAAATCAGAGCAGAACAACCAAATCAACCAAATCAGCCGAACACAGGTTGGTCTAGAACTAGGGTTTCAAAATGATCGTGGTGACAAACTTAGGGTTTCAAAGAGGTAGAGATGGTGATACGAAGAGAAGAAATGAAAGTTTAGAAGAGAGAGACAATATGGTTAGAATATCAGGGCTATCAACGGGTTGGAGTTACTAATTTCTAGCGCTCAACTTTCAGGATCAATTGCGTCATTTTGACAGGTATGATATTTTGCAATAAATCTGAATTTAATATTAAGGGGCAATTTTGCCTTTTCATATGATTTAAGGCCTTGTTCGGATGGAATTTCTTCAAGGGAGTGTCATTGTCTCAAAAATAGGTAAATTGCATCGTGTATCTTTTAAACAAACCTCAAAAGGTATTGCTGTACTTTATCTTTTTATCGATTTAATACTGATAAGAATCCTTATTGTACACTACGGATTATGTATGGTGTCGGTTCGGGCAAGAAAGCAAAGATGATGTTCCAGTATTTGAGTTGTGTATTAATATGATCATAAGATCTTATTACTAGCGCATTATTGTATTGCGAAGGCATGTATGTCATGTCTATGGACCATGATTACATTTTGGCCACTTAATTTTGCTCTCTTGATTAGATGCACTAATTCAATCATGATGTATATTAACAACTTAATTAATGTATTATTTTTTTCTAGAATAAGCAAACTTTAGTCTAAACTGTGTTTGGAAGCATATATAATTAGTATATTGAAATTGTAAATTGAGAAGAAAAATATTAATTAGGTCAAAAGTTAATATGATCTTTTTTATTTCAAGTCTAAGCGGGTGGTTTTTTGTTTCCAAACGCAATGATCATAAAAAACACACGTGGAGAGAATTCACACACACACACACACACACATATACACGTTTCTTAGCTTCTTGCAAAAACAAAATTTCAATGATAGGTCGAGGTGGCGGCACAGTGAACGCGGAAATAGCAGTGAGCAAAAGGTGACGAGAGATGGAGAGAGACAAGCATTGATAATGTCGAAGCTTAGCATGATCCAGCTGTTTTAGCAACCACGTTTTTGGTGTCCTCACCGCCTGATGAACAAACATATATTCAAACCCAAAATTATTATACTACTACCTTGATTACTAATTTGTTATACATGTTATTTAGTGGAGCTATGCTCATTTTTCCGAAAATATTGCAATTTTGTCACGCAGAACTTAAAGATTTAAAAGGAAAACAAATTTACTTTTTCAAAACAAAATAAATAAAGAAGAGGAAACACTTCTTTGTTTGACATAAACATGAAAAATAGAGGTGAAGTCTAAATAAAAACAAATTTTTAATAAAATACACTGGTATTATTTTTTTTTTTCAAAGCATTTTATTTTTATTTTGGTAATTACTTTTTATTATTACAGTAGGCAGTGATGGTAAAATTAAATATAGAGACTAAAAGTAGGGTGAAAGTGGTTTTGTGTTAAAAGGAAATGCTATGCTATAGTGGGTTTGAAAAATGACCGTAAGATTTAATCTAACGATCTATATAAAAAGTGTGAATTAATTTTCTTACTTTATGAAAAGTAAGAAATCAGGACTATATATATATATGTGTATGTATGTATAATTACAATGATTAAATTCTAGTATAATATGATAGTTAAGCCAAACAAAAAAAAATTGAATGAAGAGGCTCGGTAAGTTTAAATAGCTAAAGCTACTCATCTAATAAAAATTTATAATTAATCACTATATAAGAGGTGTGCACTATATTAATTGTACATTTATTTAAAAATACCCAATAATATTGAGAGTGTATGTTCAATGCCTTTGGGAGACAAAAGGTAAGTCATCAATCTTGTCTTTAAAAAGTGGCGCTCTGAGCTCACGCACGAGGAGTTGAACAGATTCTTTACATTCTGTGTTGGATGTTAAGGTGGTGGGCTAGGAGAGAGACTTCACGAGTGACCATGTGTATGCGTTATAAACTTGATTTGGGTTTGGAATCAAGTCATATAATTCGTCAACTTGATTTGGGGTTTGGAATCAAATCATATAATCCGTCTCAACAAGTTATAGACTTGATTTGGGTTTGAAATCAAGTCATATAATTCGTCAACTTGATTTGGGATTTGAAATCAAATCATATAATTCGTCTCAACAAGTTATAGACTTGATTTAGGTTTGGAATCAAGTTATATAATTCGGCTCAACAAATTTTATTCTCGCGTTATAGACTTGATTTGGGGTTTGGAATCAAGTCATATAATTCGTCTCAACAAATTTTATTTTCACGTTATAGACGTGATTTGGGGTTTGGAATCAAGTCATATAATTTCTTCTCAACAAATTTTATTCTCACGCTTCGAAAACGCTCTCACATTTCACACATATTCTCATTCCAATTTTCACTAATTAAAATTTAATTTTGCCGCTTTCGAACTCCTGTTCCCGCTTTATGTAACTTAGCTTTAGACAACATCGGTAGGATAGATTATCCTAAGACATCTAATCCACGGACTATATATATATATATATATGGTGTTTGGAATATTCACTTTCTAAATGCAGGGTTTGGGAAATTAAATATACATTTGGTTTGTTTCGATCTAAAATATTTTATTAAAAAATATATATATTTTTAATTTTTATTTTTTAATATTTAATAAAGGTCAAAGTTGAGGTTGAGATCAAGTTCATTAGGCAGGGCTTGTAAAATAACTTGTCAAAATTTGATGAATTTGTTATTTTTGTTAAGTTTTAAATTTTTATTTTTATTTTTATTTTTATTTTTATTTTTTTTGTGAAAAATATTTTAAGGACAATCAAATACTAAAAAATAAAAAATATATTTTTTAAAAAATATTTTACATTCAAACAAACAAATATATATAAGATTATTTTCACTATATGTATTATTTTAATGTAGTTCCTGCAAATTATATAGGACTAACCTATCTAATCTATAAATAAAACATGCTATCTTCATCTTTAAATATAGATAAATTGTCTATATAAAAAGGTATGTAATGTTTCATGAAAAAAAAAAATTAATAATAAATTTTACTTAGCTAATGGGGTACACGTCTCAAAGTTCTCCTATTATACCAGCAAGTATCAGTCAAGATGGAATAACTTTTCCTCTCAACAAGAAAGTTGAATGTTCGAGTTTAAAAAAAAATGTTTTAGACCTATTAGGAATAATATTGTAGTGTGTGTGCATTTATTTAATATTTTTTTTTTAAAAAAAGAAAAGAATAAAAAAGAAAGAAATCAGTTGAAATAACGCATATAATTACAATAAAATACAAACTAAAAGCCATGTGCCTCAATGAAATCTACTCTATCTCTCAAAATGGATGGTGAGAATTTTAATTTTTTGTCAATAATAAAATATATATATATATATACACACACACACACCAGAGAAAAATATACAAAGTAACAGCAAATACTTCTCTTCTTTTTTCCTTTTACCTTTTTTTTTTTTTTTTTTCATTTTTAAAAGTCACATTACCATATAGGACTCAATGGTAGCGCTGTTCAACAACAGTCAGCTAATGAATAAAATCAAAAAATGAAATGTTGACACGAAGATTCACTGTTTCCAATAGCACTGGAACAGTAGGGTCCAGAATCTCCTGCCACCTCGGATCAAACCGCGTCCCAAACAGAGAGAACACCGCCCGCCAATCCCTCGTCTATATTTCAAAATGCTAATCCACTTTTTCTTCCAAGTTTTGTGTCACAATTGTTCATGAAACCAGCAAACATTCAACAAATATATTCATATAGACACTAAATAATCTAACTGTCCCACCAAAAGAAAAAAAAATGTGATGTTGAAATTGCTTGGAAGCTCCCTTAATCTTATAATATGTGACCACGTTGCAATCACACTTGAATGACTTTAACATATCCACATCTATATATATACATGAATCGATCCCACTTACTCCTTCAATCTTTGTCTAAATATATTTCAGTTCTTTGCATTAACAAGTTAGCATATGCATGGAGGATCAAAGTTGCAACCATGGTGGATGTAGCATGTCCTCGCCCTACCGGGGAGTCCGGAAGCGGAAATGGGGCAAATGGGTGTCCGAGATTCGCGAGCCTGGAAAGAAAACTCGAATTTGGCTGGGAAGTTTCGAGACGGCGGAAATGGCGGCTGCGGCGTACGACGCGGCAGCATTGCACCTTAGAGGGCCCGAAGCGCGGCTGAATTTTCCCCAGCTTAGGGACAATATCCCTAAGCCTGCAAGCTCGAGTGCGGAGGATATACGTTTGGCGGCTCAAGAGGCCGCTTTGGGTCTCAAGAGGCCTACCGAAGAGCCTGAGGCAGGTAGCTCCAGCTCCAACCCGGGTCCGGTAAGGATAGGACTCTCTCCGAGTCAAATTCAAGCCATTAATAACTCACCTCTCGACTCACCTAAAATGTGGATGGAGTTGGCAGATGCTCCTATGGTAGAAGAACATGTCATTTTTTCTAATGATATTGAGATGAGTGATTGGGAAGAAATACCTGATGATTCCTTATGGGATTCCTAGGTAATTCAGTACTAGAAACCATAGTCATGACCGACCATACTTATTTAATTATATGTATTTACTTTTTCTAACCATATTATATTTTAAGGGTTGATCCTTGTTTTTAGATTCTATAAGATTTTATATATATATATATATATATATATATATATATATATATATTGTATAAAATAAACTAAAGAAAAGAGTACCAATTCTTAGGAGTACATGCTTGGTCATTTGATTTTTTCAACATCAGGATTTTTTAATGTATTGGGAGAAAGATATACGACTTTCAAAGAATAGCCATTGAGTTGAAGAAAGGATTAGAAAATCCCTTGAGTTGGAACTTGGAACAGTGGGTGAGAGTTCGCATGTTTGTGTGTGACTTTATTTAAATGGGTCCCTTTTAACATCAAATGACTTTTACACGGAGGGTCCCATAATCAGATGAGAGTATTTTTGACAACTCATTTGAATAAGATTTAGTGAGTGATTTTTTTTTTTTAGTGAAAGGGCTAGAATTTCAACAACTCTCAGAGTCGGTGTGATGTAACTTATATTGTTCCTTTTTCTTTTTCTTTTTTCTTTTTGTTTTTGGGTTTGTTTGATTCTTACTGTATATGTACAAGGAATGGAATTGTTGTTATAATAAAGTGACTTTTGATTGTTTGGTACCACTCTTTATCTATATATCGTATATTATATATGTATCTAGTGTTGAGACCTCTTTTTAATCAAAAGTGAAGTTGTGCTAAGAATTTCTTGGGTTTGGTTGAAGTTTTAAGTGCAAGGGATATAAACTCTCTTCAACTTATTCAACCATTCAACATTCCTCTTTTGCAAAAATATCATTACACCACATTAACATAAACATATATATAGATAACAATTTTACACATATATGCACAATACAATATTTTACATGATTTACTTAATTATAGGGATACATCTATGAAAAGAGAGAAAATTTTCTATTATGTATCAATAAAAATAATATACAATCACCTATGTTAAAAACCTCACACATTCTTTCACTCTTTTCTTCTTTTACTTTTTTGTTCTTTTTCAAGTTAAGAACATCATAACCTGTTTTTATTATTTTTCGGGTTAAGAACACACGAATTTTGATCCACAAACCCAACATTTTTTATTTTTTTATTTTTTTATTTTTGTGTTCAAATTCAAGCTACTTGGGCTGCTTTATTGGGCCATGTCAGTTTTTCCCTTTCTTGATCCAGATTGAGCCCTTGTGTTAGGTTTTGGGGTTGCCATATAAAAGGTATCATTTTTTTTTTTTTTTTTTCAAAAGAGATTTTGGTGGACAATGAAAAGTGTGTGTGACTGCTACGAAACCTTGTAGAGTGTTATTGTGAGTGAAGAAGAATACATTCTTCTTTTTTATCTTGTGCTCCTTTTGATTTCATAGTGAATTTGATGGTGGTTACCACCATGGAAGTAGGCTTTTATTTATTTTTAAGTCGAACCATGTAAATTGTTTGTGTTCTTATTTGATTGATTGTTTGTTATTTTTCCTCATTATTTCTAATTTGTTGTCAAACATTTCCGATTGATCATGAATATTTTCCACAACAAATTGATATCAGAGCCGTAATCGGAGTTTGGGATGACTTCAAAATATTCCGAGGTATTGAATGCCAAATTCGACGTGGCATGGAGAAATTTGATGGGAAGAATAATTTTGGATTATAGCAAATCCAAGTTAGAGATATATTGATTCAGCAAAAGTTACACAGAGCATTGAAGGGTCAGGAGGGTAAGCCGAAGGATTTGTCAGACGATGATTGGGATGAATATGATCTACAAGCATGTAGCACATTCGGTTGTGTTTGGCCAAGGAGAGCACGCACAATGTTATGCACGAAAAATAAAAAATCTGATAAAGGGAGATGAAGATTAAAATAAAAAAAAAACGTAAATAAGTTGAATGTTTCCATTCCATAAAAGGGGAACTTCAAATCTGATTGTAACAAGGGCTAAGGAAGAGAAAAATAAGACTAAGACTTCCGACACAGCTAGAGTAGTAGAAGTTGATTCAGATGATGTTGGTAAGGTTTTGTCTTGCAATAAATTTTTTCCAGATGGTTGGATTCTCCGATTGTTCATATCATATGTGCCCTAATAGGGAATTGTTTTGCTTCTTACCAATAGGTAAAATGGTGGAACTATTTTGATGGGTAATAATGCAGCCTGTAAGATTGGAATACTACAAGATCCCTTGTGGTTCCCACAGACGGCGCCAACGAAGGTGTAGGTACAAAAATATCACATTAGCAAAATCCTTTCTATTTCTCTCCTCATTTCTATTCATAGCCTTTCCATTTACCCTTCCCTAGTTTCCCTGCTTGGCTTCGACATTGTGGGCCTCATGGGCTTGATTCCATTCGGGCTTTACCTCTTATATAGTCGTCGCAAAAGAGTGAAGCATATCACTGGGCCTTATTTCCTCTTTGGAATGGACAGTGACACTAGGCTCGTCTCTGGGCCTGGTTGGGCTTGCTTTCATTGGGCTGAAGTGGATTTTCCCCGTCAGATCCAAAATCCAAATATTTGTTTTGGAGGAGAAAAAAAACACCAACATTGCATTCGCTAGTTGGTCCGTAGTAGGATTCCCAGCCAATGGATTTATGTTTAACTTTGTTAAGGTAAAATGACAAGTTGATGTCACCAACATCAAAGACAACAATTTCATTTTGGGATCATCTTGGAATTTCTATCCTCAACTTTCCCATCCACCAAACGGTCTTCTTCCCTTGCCCTGTCCTACCAGAATGACAAGCTCAAATGATCTCCATCGCCCACTGGTCAGCTTTCTTGCATCCATTGTACCTTTATAATAGGTCTCTGGTCTCTCGACTTAAAACCTTACGAGCCAAAAGAGCGATAAGAAAAGAACAGAAAAAGAGTTATCCATATATATATCAACAAATAAACCAAAAGATTAATTCTTAGGAGCATGTCTTAAAATAAAATGTTATAAACAAAAGCTAAAAAGAAAAAAGAAAAAGCATCCAAATCTGTTCCATTGAAAATGAAACACTGCATATAAAATATTGATTCTTAAAACAATTATTTTCCATGGAAAAGCAAGAAATTTTGGGAAAATAATATAAATAAAGTGGATGTGATAGTTATTAAATATGATAATTAAACTTTTAAATTTGCAGGAATTTTTTTTTTTTGGAAATTTTAAATTTCTAGGAGTTACTAGCTAGTCCGTCTGCAGAATTTGTTGATCAAAGGACTCGATGCCTTGCACTATGCCATATCAATGAGACTTATGTGTTCATGTTGGAAATTGTAAACTGTAGTTAGATTTATAACTCAGTTACCCTTTTTTTTTTTGACATGAATTGTTCTAAAGACTTCACATCAGAAGGAAAAAAAAATTTAAAGGAAGGGAGAAAGAACAAAAAGAGAATAACCGTACCTGTTCTGGGATTCATAAATCCCCCAAGCAGTTTGGAAGATCATTGAAGATTGTGTTCGCGCTCGGCTTCTCTCAATCAAAACGAAGGACTCCACCAGCTCGAGATGCATAGCTGCTGAATGGGGACTCCCTAGTTTGATCAATGCAGCTAGGTTACAGTTGGATGATGTTGCCTCTGGTTCCTTTCCTCTGAGTTTGAATTTCTGATTTAGGGGAGGGGGAAGTTTTGTTTTGTTTTGTTCCTTTTGGGCCATGTGGGTTGGGCTCTTGGGTGAGGTCTCTTGTGTGGGCCTGTGTGTTCTGTTTTGTAGCCTTTGGGCTGTCTTTTTTGGGCTAGTTGGTTAGCCCTGTACATCTCTCTTTGAGGTTATATATACTGATTTACCCAAAAAAAATAAAAAAATAAAAACTTTAAAAACAAAAATCAATAACACTTTTCATATTCCACACTAGGGTTTCTATTGAACATATAAGCACACAACTTATGATTACAATCCATTAACAAATGGATTACTACCCAAGACATTTATGGAATATGTTAAAATAATGGACCTTGAATGTAGTCAATGATGATTATTTTTTAATTGTGGATTGCTTAATAGTGCATATATATATTTGACATTTTGCGCTGATTAAATGTGTTTATAATATTTCCTATTAATTAATATACATGTACGTATTGCTTTAATAAATAGTAATAAGAATAGTTTTGGAAAAAACATTATTCTTAGATCATTATTGATACTTCTCATTTATAAACTATGTTGAATAGGTTACTATTGTTATGGTACATGGTAGAGACTGCGTCATTTAGGGACATATAACCGCCTTGACTCGCATTGGTAGTTTATTTACCATGGTATTTATGATGACCAATTTAATGAGTTAATCTGATTTATGGTGCACACTAATGACTGTTTTACTAAACCACTATAGAAGTTATCATATGGGCCAAGTGGGAGAATGTAAGATTATTTATTAATTATGTGGCCCACATGTTTTGGACATGTGATATATTTCATTAATTAGTGGTTAAGTAAATAGGTATTAGATTAATATTATATTATTTGGTTAACTTATAAATTACCTTTATGGTAATTAATTATTGGAGGAGTGTTTTCCTATTTATTCCTTACTTTGATGGAAAGTGGTAAAGTTACTAAAAGGAAAACTGGTCATCTCTCTGCCTTTATAAAAGTGCATATTCTCATCAATTATGTACGTTAATAGAAATAACACATATAATGTTTATGTGTGCTAAAGGTCAAGAGAGAGAAATCAGTTTCTACACTTTGACTTGCTGTTTATCACGTTATTTGTTCCGCAAAAAAGATCTCGACATTTGCCTTGATATATACGATATTTACAATTACAGATCGAGGTGTTTATATCTAACTATTTATTTATGCATTATAGACTATGTCAAAATAATGAAGTTATAAGATTTTGGAATTCATGTTTATTTGTGATTAATGATTTGCGCAAATAATTATAATTTACATGGCAAGCAGACACACCTTCACCACTTAATGAGTCCTCTGATTCAATCTCCATTTAGGTTAAACTCTTT